CTAACCTCCCTATTCGAACAAATCCAGAAGGAAGAATACGTTCCGGCAAGCTGGAGTGAATCGATGGTAGTGGCAATATACAAGAAGGGTAGTCGCACCGACTGCGCTAACCACAGGGGTATTGGCCTAACGCCGGTTGTGACAAAATTACTGATCTCAATTCTCGTTCGTCACCTCACTGTGGTACGGGAATCTCGGATTATGGAAGAGCAAACAGGTTTCCGCCCAGGACGTGGTTGTACAGGCCATATATTCACTCCGCGGCATGTGCTAGAGCAGCGCCACACGTACCGCAGACCGACAATAACTGTGTTCCTCGACTTCTAGAGTGCGTTCGATTCAGCAGATCAATGCATTCTTTCGGAATACTTGCGTGGAAAGGTGTTCCTACAAAGTATGTGAACATCTTGCGTGCGTTATACTCGAACAATACAGGCCGCGACAGGGCCTACGATGACACGTCGAATAGCTTTTCGATAACAAGTGCCGTTCGTCAGGGTTATCCGACTTCCTCGTTTTTGTTCAATTTCGTCGTAGACTCCATCATAAAGCGTTCCCTTGCGTAGTCTCAGAAGGTAGGTGTTGAGATCCTACCTGGTGAAAGATCAGCTGATCTTGATTATGCGGACGAAATCGTCTTGCTGTTTAACGATGTTGGGGTGGCACAATCAAGCCTGAATAGCCTATCTAGAGTGGTCCCATTATTTGCTAGGCGCTTCGCATCTTCCAAGTGCAGTGTTGCTGCAGGAACAGCAGCCACTTGATGACCACTTGTCCCTTGATGCTGAAGAACCCGAGGTAGTTAATCACTTCCCCTACATTGGCATCTGCATCGGCAACAATGGGCGCATAACCACTAAATATGCGGCAGGACCCTCTACTTTTATGAGCGTCTTATTTATCATTTGCTGACATATTGTTAGCGCGGACTTGACTCCGAATGGTAGTCATCATGATCATCAACAGCACTACATTAGCCAGTTGAATTGATGCTTCGCTGCTATACAACCATAACGACCTACGGAACGAAGAACAGTAAGAGGGATAGAAAGACGATTTAACGGAATACCTTAATGCTATAAGCAAACATTCAGGGCGAGGCGCTTGCATCTTGTCAACAACATGCTATCACAAACACACACTATACACGTCAGCTAGAGGTGGGAAACCTCAGCTACTGTGCCTCAATACCTAAAAGATAAAAGGGAGTAATATGCAACAGCTGCAAGCCAGTTGAGCTACCGGTGACGGATGGGCATCGTTCCAGTAAGCTATCTGCCGGCTATTTTGCAGCAGAAAAAAGTAGTTTGCTATGCATTATTATAGGATGCTAAATAATGAGATCGTGGTTGGAGGGGGAAGGTTAAGACGGATGGGATGGAACAAAGAAACAACATGAACGCCCCTGAGGTCGGTTCCTAGCCATACCACCAACGTTTTCATCATCTTTCGGACCTCAATCAAAGAGCCGAGACGCCTCAACGAAGGCCAGCTTCGAAGTGAGGGCCTTTATTCCTCTGGACCAAGTCATCGATTGGCCACCCCTCCTCTTCTTCCATCCAAACACCCAGCGCACAAACAACGTACGCCGCGGGAGTCGGTGCGCTGGTATGCCTAACACGTGGCCGAGCCATTGGAGCCTGGTACATAAAATAACGCCTCTGAGCAGTTCATTTCCTTTTCCTGTGCCGTAAACAAGGCGTCGAACATTCCCGTTGCCTACTCGGTGTTATCGCCAGTTGTGCGCTAGATTGCGAAGACACCAGTGGCCGAACGTAACTAACCTCTGTGTCCCTTGATCTAAGGGTCCAGGTTTCACAATCGAACACTAGGGTCGAACTTACCGCTGCATTGTACACTCTACTCTTCAGGGCGAGAGTGATGTCGCGCCGAGGCCACAAGTGGCGAAGGTTAGCAAAAGCGTCTGCAGCTTTTGCTATACGGTTCGTGATTTCATCTTCAATCCCACGGGCGCTGATGCAACTTCCCAGGTAGTTGAATTTTTGAACGACTTGTAGCTGATCCCCACCAAGGGTCAGCGAAGGAGGCGGTCCAATCCAATCTTAGAGGAACGCTCATTTAATGAAGAGTTATGTCTCCGTATCTGCATGCATTATCGGATTTATTTTATTTCATCTTGTCGTTTCAACTGATTGGCTGTTGCTTGATATCCCCAGTGTAGCTGCGCTTGATGTGCATGTTGACAAGGTGCATACCTGTCTATTACTCACTACCTCGTCCATACTGGCTCCAGGAGGCAGTTGGTCGTTGCTGGAGAGAACGGGGTGCACAGTCCTTGTGACCGTGTTAGAATCGAAGAGTGGTTCCATGCAATCAGTGTGGTGCGGATTCCGGTCCAGCCACCGTCTTGTGTACGCTTGATTCCCAAACACAGCGTGTTTGCGTTTGCGTGTGATGGAGTGTGGGCCGGCTCCGTTGACGAAACCTGGATCCCATCCACATGCCTCCCGGTCTTATTCCTTCTGGTTTACACTAGATATGGGGTGTGTGGTTGGAGCTGTGGGTGGTGCAGCGCAAGCCATCCATGGTCCCTGTGTAGGCGCAGGCGTTCTGTGGCTTGCCACAGACAGGCAAATCCGAAACCGGATGCCGCCAACCATATATATATATATATATATATATATATATATATATATATATTATATATATATATATACGCAGAAATTTACGAATAGATCGCCGTAAAATCCATGGCTCAGTTGCATAGGCAGCAGGCTAGTTGGCACAAGCCACTAGCAGTCATGGGTTCGATCCTCACTAGAGGACCGAAGGATGCGCACCACTGACGAGCCCCAATAGGGCGAACCGGCCGTCTGGTGCTTTGCCCCATGCTGAGGCTGATGTTGCATTCTTGATGCTTCTTCACCACAGTTGGGCTAAACCAACTTACACTTACACTAGGTCTTTTTAAGCTGGATAAATTTCATTCTGCTTTATTTGGTTTGTTCTGCCTCCCTGAATAATGTTCTATTAACTGGCCATGTTGCTTACACTAATTGCGCTTATCTTCGGTAATTTTGTTGCGTTTTGTAGCATTTTTAAGTAACTTGTGGACATTTCTTACTTATCACGGATTTGTTGTTAACGCACTTACTTCATATAGTAAATTAGCGAAGAGTTATGCCACCGTTTCTGTATGCATTATTGGATGTATTTTATTTCAGCTTGTCGTTTAATGTGAATGGCTATTGTTTGATATCCCTGGTATGGTTGCGCTTGATGTGTATGTTGACAAGGTGCCTACCTGTCTATTACCCACTACATCGTTCCTACTGGCTCCAGGAGACAGTTGGTCGTTGCTGGAGGGGACGGGGTGCACGGTTCTTGTGGCCGTGCTAGGCTCAAAGAGCGGTTCCATGCACTCAGTGTGGAGCGGACCACGGTCCAGCCACCGCCTTGTGTGCGTTTGATTCCCCAAATACAGCGTGCTTGTGTTTGCCTGTGAAGGAGTGTGGGCCGGCTCCGTTGATGAAACGTGGTTCCCATCCGCATGCCTCCCGGTCTTATTCCTTCGGGTTTACACTGGATATGGGGTATGTGGTTGGAGCTGTGGGTGGTGCAGCGCAAGCCATCCATGGTCCCTCTGTAGGCGCAGGCGTCCTGTGGCTTGCCACAGTGACAGGCAAATCTGAAACCGGATGCCGCCAACCATATATACGCAGAAATTTACGAATAGATCGCCGTAAAATCCATGGGAGTCAGGAGAAGGTACAGAACACGGAAAACAACACAAGGAATTCCATTATTCCTTCAAAGAGCACGATACTACTCGCTTGTCCAAGCCGCAGTAGGGAGTTGTGTTAAGGTATTCCTCCCCTGCAAATCAGCGGAACGAATTTAGGCGATCGCACTCATTGGGAGTCGGTAACGAAGTTCAGCTCATACACTTTTCGTTTGGTCGGTTACCAAACAGGGTCCCGATCCTCTCCATAATTGCAGCAGCACGTTTCTGGTACACAACACTCCACCGGAGTGAAGCCAGGAGCAGCGACTTTATTCCGTGGCGAGTCACATCAACCAAATCACAGTGTTGTTAAACGGACCTATGTTGCTTTTTATAGAGAGAATGTTTGCTAGACGAAAACCCACCATCTGTAACATTGCCACCTAACCATTCGCTAGGACGGGATGAATTCGAACCACCTAACTGGCACCACGCGAAGGTTGTTCAGCAAGCTAGCCACTTTACAGGAGACCGATACAGCATGGGTTACCTATGAAGACAACTCTTAGTTGCGTCTTCTCAGTCGAGTATGGTTTGCTACTGTTTGTCGGCTGGTAGCCGAATGATTGCACGTTTGGCTTATATTCCTGAAGCCGTCTGTTCAAATCCCCGTAGGTGCAAGCGACATTGAGATATACTCAGCCCTCGCGCGACTGGTGCTGGTTGCGCGACTACAAAGCATCGGTACGGTGTGCTGGTGTATTGCTGCTACCTACTGTGGCACATAGGCTTGCTGCTGGCAGTTTGCAGCACCTGTGAATCGTTGAGTCCAAGCAGCTCCGGCTTACTAATGCATTGTGCAGTAGTTTGTATTGCTGAGTCTACATTTCTACATCGCTGCTTTCACGTATGTACGATGCTTGCTATTTCCATTCCTTGTGTTTAATACCTTTCACATTTCGGGCCCCTAAACGAACCACCTTATGTCTGCTTTGACTTCCATTTTCTTAGTCCAAAACTTAATCTTGCTAATCTGCTAAGAAGGCACGCTTTTCCAGCCTATTGGCCTCCGTTTTTTCTGTGTTATACTGTCTTGTCTTATTCTATATTGCACTTTGCTTGTCTTTCTGGCAGCTGGACTCCCTCTATTTTGATGCAAACGTTCAATCCCTTTCTTCTTTCATTATTGATGTTAATGTGCTTGTCATTTTGGACTTGTTGTGTACCGGTCTCCATAAATTTAGCGTCTCTTGCGGTATTGCGGATTCACATGAATTAATATTTTTGGTCTGTCATTATTGCACCATTCTTCCAGCTCTCAAGAATCAGTCGCTTTGTCACCGGCATCACTGGTACGAGCCGCCGTCGAGTCAGCCATCACAGTTATGGAGCTTATGATGAAGATTTCATTGATCGACCTGTTGCGATGCCCACATATCCTTGTACTATATGCGGCGTCCACTACCGATCCAAAGCTGGGCTGACGTATCATCTAAGTTCTCAACACCTCCATGTACGTTTCGTTTGCATCAATTTGCCTTTAACGCGGGCTCTCGAATTTCTTTTAATTCACCTCTTAAAACTGGAATACCATGGTTGTGCACTGCGTTGTCCCCACACGCATCTAACACCGTTCTCAGATCTGATCAATGTTTTGGCTTTTAATCTTTTCATTCCATCAACTGTAGCTGTCCAGTTTGTTCACTGAATTCGGGTTGTTTTATAAGCAAATTTTCCTCCTTCTAAAGTTAACCCGCAATACGCATTCATTTTTAGTGGAGGGAAACCAGAGTATATTAGCTATTACGGTTTGTCAGGCATTTTTAAAACTTGTGTTTTCTAAGTGTTCATCACCGTAATAGCCAGACCCAGACCTTGTACTGCTGGACGTTTTTGTCCCTTTTGCCTGGGGTTGCAATCCAACGGAGACATCAATACTCGGCTGATTGTGTATATACTTTGTCGTACATCAGTCACATTTATGGGTCAAACACGTTCCAGGGCAGGTATCACAGTCGCATGTGATTTGTTCTCATCTGATGTGAACGCGCTCCACCTGGTTGATTTGCTACGGCGCACTATAGTTGGCCATCTGCAGCCACACACATCGACAATACGCACAAGATTCCGCTAGCTACTCACTTACGTTACGTTGTATTTAATCAGTTCGTCGCGCGTCCAATCACATTTCTGCTGATAATCGCTGAATTTTTTGTTCACTGACATGCCTACTCGCAGCTCCCTCCATACTGTATGCTCTGCCCCACACTGTAGCGCCATGCGTAGTTTTCGTTCTGTTTGGCCACCAAATATGCTTAGCGTAGTGCGAGTGCATGCGCACCCTTTCAATCCATTGATCTATACTGGGTACCTTTTTCCTCGTTCATTCAGTGTCTGGAGACCAAACCAACAAAATGGGGCTCTATTTTCCTTCTATTGTGATCTCGGTTGTGGACTGCAGTCAGTACAGTTCAGTTAATTAATTCTACTCCATAGATCCATACCCGGACTTGCATTCCACCAGCTTCGGCTTCCATGCCACCAACTCTTGTTCCCTATTGACGTCACCTCGGTTGGTGAAGAACTACCCAGGTCGGCAAACATTACAACAGCTGAACTATCGTGCTCGTTCACATACCTACCATCCTTCCCACTTCGATGAAGCGTTGGGATATGGAAACAAAAACTGGTAGCTCAGATTATTCAGATGGCGGTTGAACTGTTCACTTAGCTTTACAATTTTGTTGCGAACGTTTCACCACCAATCGAGGTGACACCATCATGGTATTGTTGCATAGCTTCTCCTTGCGCAGAGTAGCCCCGGTTAGACGCTTCCCTACGCTACGCTGCTCTACTGCGCGCAACACAACTACACTGAAGATTCCTCCTCGATTGGCGATGAAACGCTTGTAACGAAATTGCCAAGCTCTTTGGACAGTTCAACCGCCATCAATGAAGTGGTATTGTCGTTCGGGAATTTGGCTTTCAACTACGTCCAGGGTTCCAGCACCAGATGTCGCATAGATTTAGGGATCCCTGCAGTGTCCCAACCCGCGAGCAACAGTTTACAGCTGTGTGGCAGGGAATCAGCGGCACTGGTGCACTGTTTATTCTTGTATGTACCAAAGGTTCTTTCCCACAGTTTTCATCTGTAATCAGCACTGCTATAACATCAGCCGTCATTGACGAATTGCGCGAACGGTTAGGATTTCTACTAATGCGCCATGTGCAGGTCATTCTAAATGGTTTACATATGGCACTTTAGTCATACTAACTTCAGATAGATTTCAAAGCGTCCGTATTCCTCTACAACAGCTGGCTTTTGCCGATTTGTGAGAAGTGAACTCTGGTAGGGGCTAGTGTTCTTGAAAACAACAAGAGGACGTTGTTCCAACACAACCGAGACACTTATTGCGAACTATATGCCATTGACACAGTTCCACTTTGCTTCGACCGATGCACCGTGTCAGATCCGTTAGTCAGTTTATCTGAACTTACTTGGGTGGTCAAATTATCAATCACATCATTGATGCTATCCATCATGAGATGATGCTATTGGAGCGCATCAAGATGTGTGGCTCCGATGAACTTTCTTTATCCTTGCTGAAAAAAGATGCTGACTGGCCTAGGTACTCTGTTTCACATTATCTGTCATAGAAAGCAAAGAATCTCAGCTTGGTAGTTGTCGACTCTCATTCTTACTCCTTTAAGTATCCATTGTATGTCTTGCAGATGTCGTAATGGCGTTGGTGCCACCCCGCCCTGTATACACAACGTACACTTCGGCGGCCCCCTGGCCTCTGTGTAGATTGGAGTAATTAAGATCTGGGTCGGGCTTTACCCCGGTAGAGGGTGCATTGGCTGCATTTTCACACCGCCGCGGACTCGAACGCCATCATATAAAGAGCCAAACACCGTACCCTGCTTTGACTAAAAAGTACCTGCCGATTTAGTTGATCACATTGACTCGGGGCAGCGCCTCTTTGGAGGAGGTATGGATAATTTCTTTTCTAAACTCACCATTTCCCGATTCCCGGGTCTGTACCTATCTGTCCCTTGTGTTGTACACAACAGGCGTAGTGTATCAGGGCTTTCTTATGTCCATTCGATTGCTCATTAATCTCGGACAACCACTCAACGTAGTTTGGTGGATTCTGGTAGTCACATCAATGAACAGAGTACTGTACGCATTGGTAGGCATTGTGTGGCTTTTGACAACCATTATCATCACTAAAGATGACTATAGATCAGCTTGTTATTTGTGCTCCGGTGCTTTGTATGGAATTACACTGAGCTGGACGTAGCCTTAAGGATCACAAGCTTGCCTTGTAAGCCAAGTGCGCAGGTTCGAGTCTGCGTAGGGACCGGGCGATGCTCGCAGTATCCTTGACCCGCGTGTGACTGGTGGTGGTTGCGCGGCAGCAAAACGCCGGTACGCGGTACCGATGTATTGCTGATGTCTTTTCTACGCTGTGACTAGCATTAGTATATGGATACTTGAAAGTCATTGCACGTTGAAGATATTAAGAGGCTTTCTACCTTGGGCTACTAATGACCCAAAATCCACTACCTTGTAGGGTTTCCAAATGCTTATCACTTAAGTCTACTGTCCAGTGCTTGGTGACAGATCCACTGGAACCACTGCGGATCGTTTGTTCAGCTACAATCATCTACACTGGTCAGGGCATGGCTATCGCATGTCTGCAAACCGCCAACCTTGGTGCATCCTGTTTGACTGTACCTCATGTTGTTAGCTTAGGTCCCAAGGTGACGTTCGAACGATTATTGCAAAACGATTGAAAGTTGGTCGGGTTTGATCATTTTGCCCTCTTAACATTGTCGTAGGGCGGAAGAATGAGGCTTGCTGTTTGTCTGTCTGTATTGTATTTGTCGATGCTCGTTTCTACTTGCACCACTTCTCATCCTCCGATACTTGTAGGTTGCTTAAACATTTGGTTTTGCCTATGGATTTATCTGTTTGCTCGTCAAGTTGCTGTTTTTGAGGTTTTCTCGTTTTCTCTTTGCCTACTAACACTCGTTTATAATGTGCCTATTTACTGCGTACATCTTATATTCTGGTTTCTCCGCCTGCGGTACCCGTTTTTGTCTTTTAACACGTATATTCAGGCAAATACTCATTCTCGCAACTAAAAATCCTCAACTTATGTTCCTTTTCATCGTTACACTTTCGAATTTCGTCCAAGATGAATCGGGCTGGCAATGCTCGTGTTTCCACTCCTACTGACTCTCTGTCAACAACTAACGGTCCCGTTACTCCTCGATCGAATGGATTACTTAGCGTTCGAGTAACTTCTAATGGCGGCCTCCTGGTACCAGAATCCTCGGGTCCTTCGTCCGAAATTCCCTCTGTTTATACTTGTAAAAATATTACGTCAGCATCCTGTTCTCAAGACCCGACTCCCAACGGTGGAAGTGCAGGTGAGTGAAGTTGCAATACACTCCTTGAGAGCATCTTTGTGACAACAGTTGGTTTGTACTTTTCACTGAGTTTTGTATTGTTGACAAATTAAGCGTGGCTCATGTACTAAGGACAATTAGCCCAATCTGCGAATCGCTCCATGTGCTTGGTCTTCGGTGTTTTGTGACATCATTCCGAACTACTTTGTTTCACTAGTCGCTGAAATCAACAAACAGGCTGTCCCATTGGGTTGGCATTTAGTCTGAGCGCTTTTCTCTGCTGCATGACCTTGTCACCTATCACTTTACGGCCGTTTCATCCTTTCGAGAATCGTCAACAGTGCGCATTCCATCTGACCCCTGTAGAGCTCAAATCTACAACTCGACTGTTGCCAGTTCGTAGTTAAGTCCACTGAGCTATGAGGGACGGCAACGACCGCCGCTCACTATCCACTGACTCACACGTTACCACCGTGCAGAGGACAGGGTATCCCTTCACCAAGCAGCGAACTTAAGCTGCCAATGAACCTATGACATTATAAGCAGTTTGGTCTGTGTATTGATTGCGGAAGAGTAGTAGGGGGAGTTGAATCGTTTAGGTAGGAATTCATCACATCAACTCCCTCCACTACTACAGTACGCAAACATAACTGCTTTTACTGCCGGAAGTTGATTGGCAGCTTAAGTTGGGTAAGTTCGTCTCTTGGTGACGGGGACACCCTGTACTCTGCACGCTGTTAACGTGCAAAGCAATGAATAGTGATTGGCGCTATAACACATTTAGTAACTTATCCACGACGGTCGTTGCCATCCCCCTTAGCTCAGTGGTCTTAACCACGGACTGGCAACAGTCGAGTTGCGGGTTCGAGCCCTACAAGGGTCAGATGGAACGCGCACTTGACTGTAGCGTATGAGTCACCACCTCCAATCCGTGTTCCCACCCTACGTTGAACACATGCGTGTGTGGTCTATCGATTACCCACTCACCAGTGACTTGGCTTCAGTTCCTTGATCGATGCTCTGTACATGTTCTGGCCAGAATACACGTTTGCGTACTGCCAGCTGGTTCTGTTCTGACCTCTGTCTCACTCGGATACGAGCCATCATTACGTCCGTCGTCTAGCCTTGCTTCCTTAACTGTAGACTGTAACATTGGCAACAGATTCTATATCTAAATTGTTCGTTATGGAGTCAACTTATTCCGCCGGATCCGTTTCGGAAATAAACTGCTTCTAAGCCATCACTTGCGGTTTGGACTCGGTGGAAGAGAATAGTCTGTGACTACCTTGAACTCTGCAGACCTATAAATCCTCACCTCACTATTGCTGAGAAACAATCTGTTAAACTGCTGAGACAACACTTGGGTGCAAAGTGCCAGAGACATTTCGATTGTATGAAAACACTTCCTTGTCTCATTATCCATGAACTCTGTATGACCTTTGGGGCCTACAACAAGTGTTTACTGCACCACTAAATTTTTCCCTACTACGGCAAGGAGTCGAAGGAGATGTCAATGAATTTATACCCCGCATACAACAGTCCCTGCATGATTGCCGTTATAATGAGATTCCGTCCACGAAATTCAAAGTGGTCATGGCTATTCATTGCCTTTTAGTCGGCATTCGTGACAAGGCCCGAGAACGTTTACTGTCGGAAGACGGAAGAAAGGTTACTTGGGAGGCCGCATGCACGCTGGTGAGGCAAAGCGAAAATGTGGTTCAGCAATTAATTCACTATCAACATGAGCACTCCTCGGATGTAATCCACGCGCTCAAACCTCGATTGTCACCGACAACAAATGCTCCTTTATGTGCTACAGGTGTGGCGAAAGACATGAAAGATTAACTGACTGTAGACACAGACAATCCACTTGCCACAAGTGCTTTAAGGTCGGACATCTTGCGCGTGTTTGCAGCTCAAAAGTGCTTCCACTTCTTGCATCTTATCCTTCATCAAATACTGTCCGGTCAATAGTGTATACCGATGAGTCCATATCTTACTTGCTTTCACATACTACCACATGTACGCGAAATACTGGAGATTGAAGGCCAACCTGTGCGCCTAGAAATCGATACGGGGGTCTCGGTTACGTTAGTCCAAAATCGTACTTTGACCTACTGCTGGTCCCGACACAATCTATTTTACGTTCTTATTTTGGTGAATCTCTCAGTGTACTGGGGATATGTGAACTAAGGGTTACTCTTTGGGTCGACATTTTTACTCTTCCCTTAATTCTTGTTAACACAGATGGCCCGAACTTACTTGGTAGAAACTGGCTCAAACATATGCCGGAATTACTACAAACCGTCGAAAAAGTGGACCATATTCCATGCATTCCTTCATATTTGTAAATTTACGCTTGTGTGTTGGATGGAACATCGCTTGGTAGACTACGTGATTTTACAGTTCCGATGTCCGACCGAAGGCACAGCCAAAATTTTTCAAAGTAAGAAGATTACCTTTTGCTATCCGTCCGAAAGTTGAGTTAGAGCTGGAGCGTCTCAAAAAAGACGGAATATTATCGCCAGTGCACCAATCATCTTGGTCCACACCAATAGTATCAATACAAAAACCCGATGGCACCGTCCGTATCTGTGCTGACTACAAGTTGACTGCTAACCAAGCGGCGACGTCAGAACACGATCCTATCTTGCAGATGGATGACTTGTACGCAACTCTGTCAAGTGGAGAGAAGTTTTTCAAACTTGATTTAAGCCACGCTTACTCCCAAGTAGAGCTGTATGAATCTGACAGGGAAATGTGGTTGGCGGCAACCGGTTTCGGAGTTACCTGTCACTGTGTCCTCCTTAGTACAGCCATAGGATGCCTGCGCCTACAGAGGGACCATGGGTGGATTGCGCTGCACCACTCACAGCTCCCACGACGCACCCCATATCCAGTGTAAACCCGAAGGAATAAAACTGGGAGGCATGTGGATGGGAGCCAGGTTTCATCAATGGAGCCGGCCCATACCTTCACAGGCAAACACAAGCACGCTGTACTTGGGAACTCAAGCGCACACAAGGCGGTGGCTGGACCGTAGTCCGCTCCACACTGTATGCATGGAACCGCTCTTCGAGCCTAGCACAACCACAAGGACCGTGCACCCCGTCCCCTCCAGCAACGACCATCTGTCTCCTTGAACGAGTATGGACGAGGTAGTGGTAGGCAGGTAGACACCTTGTAGGTAGGTACTATGTCAACATGCACATCAAGCACAACCACAATGAGATCAAGCAACAGCCAATCACTTGAGCCAACGAGCTTAAATACGATAAATCTAATAGTGCATACAGAGAGGGTGACATAAATTTTCAATAAATGAGCATGTGAAATAAATTGGTTGCCAAAATATCCGGTATAGGTTCAAAAGGTCATAAAATATATTTTAAGCAAATGTCACAAACGCGAAAGTGTTATCAAAGTTAACTACAATTAACTTGAGCAATGCGTGCAAGTTAACAGAAGATAGTTCACATAGACATTAATGAGAAAATATAGCAAACCCCCCACCTGAAATAAAGACCCAGCATGCAAGCAAGCGATTAGTAAATCTAATGGAGCGTACCTGCAAACACTGCGCCGATTCTGCGTACCATCTCAGCAGGACCCGTCGTCCCTTCGGTGTTGGCCCCGAGTGGCCTGGCTCATGATTCACTGGGCCTGCCTGACTCAGGCACTCGCGACCGCATGTGCTACAGCATCATGCGCTCGATGTCGATGGCGTACAACCCATCGGCGACCGTCCCTTCCGCACTTGCCGCTTCTTCTCCGCATACAAAAGGTCTTTCCTGCACCTCGGCAACGACCTTCGTGATCAGAACGCACCATTCACGCCGATCAACTGGCTTCGATTCCTTTCACCTGCAATCAAAATTAGAACGTGAGATGCTCACTATGATCATGTCCTGGTAACGTAACTTTGGTTTCCCCGCATACCGCTTCCCAATACTCCGCTGACTATATAATATTTTTTCGGTATCCGCGTCGAATCCATACGCCACACATGAGCAAGCCACCTCAGATGTCTCAGCAAAAGTATGCAGTCCACTGCATACATTCCACTACGGCGCAACACTTCCGTGTCCGCAACTCTGTCGCCCCAACCGATACGCAAAATCCGTCGTAAGCACCGCTGATGGAACCGCTCGCGATATCGCACATCCCGACGGTACATCGTCCACGTTTCACTACCGTATAGAAGAACGGACAGCACCATGGATTTGTACACCATCAACTTCGCGCCAATGGTAAGCTGATGGTTGTTCCACACTCGGTACTCAAGCTTCCCGAATTCCGCCGCTGCCTTCGACACGCGGATACGCAGCTCACTGTGTAGCTGCTGATCAGTTGACATCACACTCCGAAGGTAGCAGAAGCGGGAGGTGGTTTCCAATACATCAGCCCAATGCTGATTCGCGGCACCATTGCAGATTGCACCTCCAGTGGAGGCTGAAAGAGACAGACAATTTTGATTGTGTTGACGGTGGGCACGAATTTGGCCGCTGTCGAAGCCAGAGCACTAGTCATATGCTGCAACTCATCCGCGCTGTGTGAAAACAACGCGCAGTCGTCAGCAAACAGCAACATACGGATAGTTGTCTCACAGACTAGAGTTCTCGCATCGAAACGACGGATGTTCAGCATCCCACGATCAATACGGTGCTCCACACGAACACTGTAAGCACAAGCGGCATCAAAAGCACAGGACATCATGACATTAGGATACATATTAAACAGGGCAGGAGCTAAGACACAGCCTTGCTTCACACCAGTGACAACTGCAAAGTCACCCGAGGTCTCTTCACTCTGCTGCACCCTCGCTCGCATACCACTGTACAGACATTCATTTAAACTTACAAACTTACGCGGGCAACCACAATTACCTAACACCAGCCACAATGCCTCGCGGCTCACCGTATCAAATGCCTTGGTGAAAACAACAAAAAGCGAGTACAATGGCTGGTGTCGTTCTCTGCACTTCTCCTGCAACTTACGAGCCGAGCGGAATCCACAATGCT